ATTTCTCAGTATTTGGAAAATCATTTAAGGAGTGCCTTGAACATTTAGAAAAAGTGTTATAGCGGTGTGAAAACACAAACCTTGTATTAAATTGAGAAAAAATGTCATTTCATGGTTCAAGAAGGGATTGTGTTAGGGCATCTGATTTCATCACAAGGTATTGAGGTGGATAAAGCTAAGATACAAGTCATCAAAAAACACCGTCGGTAACAGTGAAGGGAGTCACAAGTTTCTTAGGTCATGCAAGGTTCTACCGTCACTTCATCAAAGATTTTTCCAAAATCTCGAAGCCATTATGCAATCTATTGGAAAAAGGAGCTTCATTTCACTTTTTTGAGGAGTGCTTGACTGCTTTCAACACTTTAAAGGAAAAATTGGTTTCTACTCCAGTGTTGGCTCCTCCGGACTGGGATTATCCGTTTGAGCTTATGTGTGATGCCAGTGATCATGTAGTGGGGGCAGTGTTGGGTCAACGTAAGGGGAAGATTTCTCATGTTATCCACTATGCTAGTAAGACTTTAGATAAGGCTCAAATGAATTATGCTACTACAGAGAAAGAGCTTTTGGCAGTGGTGTTCGCTGTTGATGAATTCAGGTCATATTTGATTGGTTCAAAAGTGATTGTTTATACAGATCATTCAGCGTTAAAATATCTAATGAGTCAGAAGGATGCAAAGCCGAGACTTATTCGTTGGATACTCCTATTACAAGAGTTTGATCTGGAAATTAGAGATAAAAAGAAGAGTGAGAATGTTGTGGCAGATCACCTCTCACGCCTTGAATCACATGAGTCAAATCCTACATTGGAGATCAATGAAGCCTTTCATGATGAAATGCTCTTTCAGATTATCACTACACCATGTTACACCGATTATGTCTATTATTTGGCTCGCTCCATCATCCCACCAGACTACTCGAGTCACCAAAAGAAGAAATTCTTCAGTGACCTAAAACACTACTTTTGGGATGATCCAATTCTTTACAGAAGGGGTCCAGATCAGATCATACGCCGTTGTGTGCCAGAGGTAGAGCAGCATCAAGTATTAGAGTCATGTCACTCTGCACCGTATGGGGGCCATTTCGCAGCAACCAAGACAGTAGCAAAGGTACTGCAATTGGGTTTTTATTGGCCTACATTGTTCAAAGATGCCCATTATATGGTGAAACATTGTGATAAGTGCCAAAGGACTGGATATATTTCAAGGAGGAACTAGATGCCTTTGAACAGTATTTTGGAGGTTGAAATATTCAACGTTTGGGGCATTGAATTCATGGGACCATTTCCTCCACCCTATGGTCAACAATATATACTGGTGGCAGTGGACTACGTGTCTAAGTGGGTTGAAGCTATAGCTTTACCAACTAACGACGATCGAGTGGTAACTCAATTCTTGAAGAAAAACATTTTCACGAGATACGGTACCCCGAGGACGATTATTAGTGATGGTGGAAAGCATTTTTGTAACTGCCTATTTGCTTCGCTGTTGGCCAAATATGGAGTGAAACATCATGTCTCAACTCCATACCATCCTTAGACTAGTGGGCAGGTGGAAATCTTCAATAGAGAGTTAAAGAAGATTCTCGATGCTACGGTCAATGCATCACGTGAAGATTGGGCTAAGAAACTAGACGATGCACTTTGGGCATATAGAACAACATTTAAGACTCCAATTGGCATGTCTCCATATCGATCGATATTTGGAAAGACTTGTCATCTGCCGGTTGAGTTAGAGCATAAAGCATACTGGGCGACACACTTGCTCAATTTCAATATGAGAGCAGCAGTAGAAAAGAGGGTTCTACAACTTCATGAGCTAGATGAGTTTCGTTTGGATTCGTATGAGAATGCAAAGATTTACAAGGAAAAGATCAAGAGATGGCATGATAGGCATATAAGGGAGAAGGAGTTTGAGGTTGGTCAGCAAGTATTGATGTTCAATTCACGCCTCAAGCTTTTTTTGGGAAAGCTAAAGTCTAGGTGGTCGAGTCCATTCATAGTAGTAGCTGTGTTTCCACATGGTGCTGTGGAAGTGGTGTCTCAAGATCAACAAAGAAGGTTCAAAGTAAATGGACAACGGTTGAAAGCTTATTGGGGAGGTAACTACTCTAGTGAGAAAACAACCGTGCCACTTGATAATGCAAAGAAGCCAGGACGACAAGGTCTAGCTAAAGACTATAAATTAAGCGCTTGTTGGGAGGCAACCCAATCTTTCCATCCCTTTTATTTATTTTTCTTTTATTTATTTATTGATGTTCGAGCCAAGTAACACTTGTTCCAGAATTTTTGTGCCTTAATGCTTTATTTATCCACATTGTGCAAGAACATGACGTCGTGGAACATTTGAACCAACTATTACAAATGAAACAACGGGAGACATTGAAAAACTAACCATGGAATTCTACGCCATATCAGGGGAGTCTTCTCTTCATTTTCTTCATTTTGTGTTTTTTATGCATGTTTTATTGTTTTAAATATTAGAAAAATACAAAAAAATAAAAAAATTGAAATTTTTTAAAAATATTTTCTTTTTGTGTGCTTGTATGAGTTAGTTAACTTGGCTGGCAATGATGTATATATTGAATTATGAATTGATTTATGAATGGTGAATAGGTTGCATGCTTAAGTTAATTTTTGCTTTTTCATGTGAAGTTTGATATATATTGAGCTCGTGAATTAAGTTAAGCAATGTGTAGGAATAAATTGATTTCATAATTGGATAGGTTGAAATAGTGGACCATAGATGCTATACCTAAAACCACTATATTTTACATTCTTAGACCAAATGTAGAACAGTTTGGAGGAGATTTCACTGTTGTAGAAAGATGTTGAGATAAATGGAGATTCCATGTGTGAAATTAAAAATATTATGGGGATTGTCTAAGGTCAATAGGATGAAATTGGGCGAGAAAGTCTTAAATTGGAGGTCGATTTGCTTGAATAGGTGTGTGAAAAGGGGCGTTGTACTAATCAAGACACATTTTGAAATTTAAAAACTTGTCTAAGGTCAATAGTTTTGTTTGAGGACAAACAAAGATTCAAGTTTGGGGGTTTGATAAGTGTATTTTTTACACTTGTTTGGGACATTAAACTACGGAATTTTACTGTTCTTTTTGACAAAATATGACCAAAATTGTATTGTATTATTTTGCTTAGGTAAAACTCGTGTTTGGACGAAGAAGTGAAGAAATAAGCAAAAAAAATGGTGAAAAAGGACAAAGTCCAAGTGTGGGGATTAAATTAACTATTGGATGCAAAGTTTGGAGATCAATTTCTCACGATAGAAAGTCTCCCAGTTGGACCTGGTTAAGATGCTGCCACCCTAGATTCCCTTCGGCGGGAGAAGTCCCCAAAGTCAGGTTTTCTTCCTTGAGACTTGACACTGTAGAAAGGCTTCCTATTAAGCTAAGGCCGGATTCTCTTTTTCTTCCGACGATCTTCGTTGCTGATTCCTCCATCCTAGGAGGGGAAGTTTCTCTTTCATCATCAGCAAGATATTGAAATCTCCTGGAATATTGACGCATCCAATTTGATTCCAATTGAGAAGTTGGAATTATCTCCTTGGATGGTGACAATCTGGGTGGGTAAATTAAATTCACCAGCATTTTGGGATGAATTTGATACTGAATCATTAGCTTTATCTTCTCCAGTCATGATGGAGACTGTTGAGATAAAGAGCAGGAAAAAAAAAAGAAAAAAAAAACAAAGCTGATTTCTGAAGTCTTCAGAAATTAGCTATGGTTAGGTCAAGAGGCAAAGATGATTTATGGCTCTGATACCATGTTTGAATTGGAGAGAAAGAAAATAATATTTCTTCTTATTATTGAATATGCATTGATACATATGTTATATAGAACAAACTAATGACTATACAAGGAAATATATTATTACAAAGAACAAATTAAGGGAATCCTATAATCTTGCATAATATGGATTGATTCTTTCCCTTTGAGGCTTAATACAGCTCATTTGACAAAAAATGAAGAGATTCATAGTGATTATGTAGGAGGAAATTGTTACCATGACCAGGCAAACAATCACTCTGCAGGAATCGCCTCCACTTTTAATTGTACTCATTAATTGGATCAACTGCCAATATATACAAATTCTTAAGCGCATAGCTATTAAATTTTGAAATGTTTTTTTTTTTTTTCTCAATAGTTGCATGTCCCGGTTCAACATGCATTTGGTTTAACTTCTTATTAGGTTGTGTTTATATGAAATTGTGTATGTGAGTTGTTCAAACCACATTTCTCTTTAAGAACAATAATGGTGTATTTGAATTTTACAAAAGCAGCTTACCAAATCGGATTCCCTATTAGCAAAAAAAATCCAAAGAAAGGTGATGATGTGATTGTAAGATAGTTACATTTATATGGAGTCGAGAAGGCCAAAGAACCCGTACTTCAGCACTTCTCGAAAGGGTCAACCAACCATTCAAACAAGATGTTGTTAATTAGGTGCCTCAAAATTTGGTCAAAGATTGGAAGATTGGTTGTTGTCTTGGTTTAGGAAAGAATTATTGGAGCCAAGTGAAAAGGGAAAGAAATCAATTGCATCCAAAATTAAGGAAATAATATTTGGGCGCCATATTCCTATCTTTTACGTGGTTTTTCTTAATTTCCATATTTTAGCCTAGTTTTAGGGTTTGACTCGTGTATCATAAATATGTTGCTTCTCTTTCAGTTTAGTTTAAGCCAAATTGCAATATCATTGTAATTCTCTCCATATTGTCCGTTTAATAAATTTCATCGTTCATCTACTTAGTTTTTTTTTTTTTACTTTATTTTAATCTTGTTTTCGTGGTGCGATCTTAAATATTTCATTATTGCCATTAAATTTCAATCTTACATCACTTTTGGGATTAACAAGTGGTATCAGAGCATGGGTTGCAGGTTTTTCGTGATTTGATTGAGATTTTTCAAGGATGAATTCGTTGAAGTATGAAATTTCGCTGTTGGATCACAATACAAGATTTTTGCTGTGGCAAGTAAAGGTGAGGGCTGTGTTGACACAGATTGATCTTAACGATGCTTTGCTAGGTTTTGAGAGGATGCCAGCAAATTTGTCTATTGAAGAGAAACAACGGAGGGATCGAAAGGCTCTAGCACAGATTCATCTTTACTTAACCAACAATATTCTGTAGGATGTCTTGAAGGAGAAGACGATGACTGCTTTGTGGCTTAAGCTGGAGCAGTTGTGCATGACAAAGAGTCTAGCGAGCAAACTAGCTCTAAAGTAGAAGTTGTATTCCCATTGCATGGTGGAAGGAGGGTCACTGCAGGACCATCTTACTGTGTTCAAGGAGATTGTCGTAGATTTAGAGACGTTGGAGGTAAAATATGTTGTGTTCGCTACCCAGTTCTTTTTCATTGTTTCGTGATACTACATTGTATAGTCGTGACATACTGACCATTGAGGAGATATATGACGCTCTGTTCTCAAAAAAGAAGATGGACCTATTAGTTGAGATCTTACATCTAGGGGTGGAGATGCTCTAATTACTCAAAGTGATCAACAGAGGGATAGATCGAAGGTGAGGTACAACAATGTGTATTGTTATTACTGCAAGAGGAAAAAACACATTAAGAAAGATTGCGACAAGTCACAGAGTAAAGGTGATTTACATGCAAATCATGTGGGTTTTCACATGAAAAGTTGTTTTCCATTTAGCTCTTGATAGTTTAAAAACATTGCTTTGATTGCACATACATGATGGTTAGCACCAATGTCAGCCCACCATTCCTTCGAGTTTCCAACCATGTTGCACTCGAGCACTACTGTAGATAGATTCATCTCCTGCATTCCTTCAAAAATGGTGTCGGCCTTTTCACAATTGTAGCTGTTCCCTTTGAACTTCATGATTTCTTGGAGTTATCTCTATAAGGTGCATCTCCGGAGATCTTTCGTTTCTTGTTGACAATTCTTTGATCTGTTTCAACAATTTCGCTCCAAGTTGGGCAATAGGCCTTTTCTTGATTTTTCTATTGTCTTCTTCAATCCTTAATCAGATTATCAACTCTTTCAAGTTCATTTCTTTGCGTTTGTGCTTGAGATAGTTTTTGAAATCTCTCCACATAGGAGGAAGTTCCATCTTCTTGGCATGGATGTTATGTAGTAGAACTTAAAGTTCTTGCACTTAACTAATTACCATTTTCGAATCCATTATCTTGTAATCCAAAAATTTGTGAATTTCTTTGTTTCAGCTTCCTCAGT